TCGACCTCATTGTTACTGGCTTCAAACAAGAAACGGAGTGCACATTTGAAATAACCACCCTCAGGGGCGGTGAGGATAAGGCCCGCCCCACTACCTTGCCCGCGGGATGATCCGTCGACGTTGAGAGTCCAAGAATGAGGGTCTTCTGGCTCGTTGGGAGCTGGTGGGGGTGGAGAGGCAGTGGTCGGGGTAGGATTAGTGAATTCCAGGATGAAGTCGGTTGTAGCTTGCCCCTTAATTGCTATTCGGGGTCGATAAGAGATGTCAAACTGGCTGAGTTCCACTGACCACTGCATGAGTCTGCCGGAAAGTTCTGGTTGCTGCATGACCTTCTTCAAGGGCTGGTCGGTGAGGATCACTATGGAATGGGCTTGGAAGTAAGAACGGAGTCGTCTGGAGGCGGTGACCAAGGCCAAGGATAATTTTTCTAACAGTGGGTAGTTCTGTTCCGCTCCCCTGAGGGCCCGACTGATGTAGTAGACCGATCGTTGGATAGAGTCGTCTTCCCTGATAAGTGTTGCACTGACAGCGGTGTTTGACACGGCTAAGTAGAGGAAGAGGGGCTCGCCCACGATTGCCTGTGAAAGGAGGGGAGGGTTGGCCATGCACTGTTTCAACTGTTGAAAAGCCTCTTCGGACTCAGATGTCCATTCAAAAGTTTGCCGAAGAACTTTGAAGAATGGTAGGCACTTATCTGTGGCGCGGGAAATGAAACGATTGAGGGCTGCAACTCGGCCAGTGAGTCTTTGGACCTCTTTAACTGTTCTGGGTGACTGCATCTCGACCAAGGCCTTGATCTTTTCAGGGTTAGCTTCAATGCCCCGCTGACTGACCATAAAACCCAGAAACTTCTCGGATCCTACGCCGAAGGCGCACTTATCTGGGTTGAGCTTCATTTGGTACTTGCGTAGGGTGGCGAAGGTCTCCCGCAGGTCGGTCAGATGATCAATGGAGAGTTTGCTCTTGACTAGCATGTCGTCGACATATACTTCCATATTCCGACCTATTTGGTGATGGAAGACAGCATTGACCAACCGTTGGTAGGTGGCCCCAATGTTCTTCAATCCGAATGGCATTACTCGGTAATGATAGGTACCTCGGTTGGTGATGAAGGATGTATGTTCCCGATCGGACGGGTGCATCAAGATTTGGTTGTAGCCAGAGAAAGCATCCATGAAGCTGAGCATTTGATGATCGGCCGTGGCGTCGACCAGTAGATCTATGCGGGGCAGAGGATAGCTATCTTTGGGGCAAGTTCAGTTCAGGTCAGAGTAATCGACACAGAGTCGTCATTTGCCATTGTTCTTGCGGACGAGGACCACGTTTGACAACCATTTAGGGTAGTCAACATTTTTCATAAATTGGGCCTCAAGGAGCTTGTCAACCTCTGCGGCTATAAGAGTATTGCGCTCTAGATGAAAGATGCGCTACTTCTGGCGGTAAGGTCGGAAATGAGGTTTAATGCTGAGGAGATGAGTTATGAAAGAAGGGTCGATGCCTGGCATATCTGAATGAGTCCAGACGAATACATCATTGTGCTCGGTCAGAAGGGCAGTAAGGTCGGCCTTAGCTTGGGGGGATAGCTGGCTGCCGATCTTAGCAGTTTTCATTGGGTTGGTGGGATCGATGGGAATCTCAACGAGCTCCCCCACCGGTTCGCCTCTGACCAGCTCGTCCTCATCTCGGGCGTCAAGTCCTTCAATGATCATGGCCTCCTTCAGCTTGACTTCCTTGAGTGAGGCGACATAACATTCCCTGGCTATGGTCTGCTCTCCCCGTACTGTCCCGACCCCCTGGTCGGTGGAAGCCCGAGGAATGTGCTTGATGTGGAAGGTATTGAAGAGGCGAACAAGGGGAAGTGCAAGATCCCTGTAAGCCCGCATTGTGTCCGCGAGTTTATGGACTATTAAATTTTCTTCTTGGGTCTTCTTCATCCTTTAGTTTTGTGCAACAAAGAATATACACTTCTAAGAGGGTGGTCTGTCCTTGTCAGACACATCAGACATAAAACACTTCTTGGACACTTTCTGAAACGTGTTGGACACAGTTCCAAGCGTGTCTTATTATTTCTTTAAAATGTTTTGGATTTGGACACTTCGAGATAAACACATGTTCATCACTTAGACGCACATGAAAAACATTGCAAGTTTGAACCAAATAACTTAGGATCCAATGATAAGCTTTTAAGTCTGTAAACCAGCTGCCTAGAATTTCAAATTGGAGGTGGGAGGTGAAGCCAATGTGAATACTGTTACACTTAATGCTGCATGAAGGACAGTAACCAGATATAAATGCTAAATATTGTTAAATAAGAAGATTGAAAAGTCAAATAGATATTGCCAGTAAAAGCAGAGGAAAGGCCTTCCCTCCTAGTTGGTGAAGGCATCTGTCTGCACAGGGAGACGGGTTTGGAAATTTAGTGATCCATATCCCTAGCTTCGATTTTCCGTCTTTTATTTGAGGAAAGGGAGAAGATGACTGGTATACTTAATTTACTATCACTTCCATAACACCCAAGCATGCTGTGCTTATCTGAATGATATTAAAATATTCTTCTCTGATTCAAGAGTTGGTGACATTAAACCTAATTGCATTCTAAATTGCTAACTAATGTCGTTTGGCTGTTATACTGGGTGTTTCTGGGTTCCGAGTCTTTTCTCTTTTCTCTGGGGGTCGGGTTTTTGGATATTGGATCTTGCCGAGCGGCTAGTGAATCTTCGGCATTCATATATTTCTGGGCTTTGGATAATAGGGTTGCCATGGAGGTCGGGGGGTTTTTGGAGAGGGAGAAGAGGAAATCGGACAATCGTAGCCCGGCCATGAAAGCCGTGAGGATGGCCTTATCGTCATTCTCCGCTACTTGTAGGGCTTCGGTGTTGAAGCGGGTAACGAAGCTGCGCAGCGACTCCCCCTCGGTCTGACGGATGTTGAGGAGTTGGGTTGCAGGGCGGCGTTGGCGCTGGGCTCCAATGAAATGGCTGAGGAAGGAGTCGCTGAGATGCTGGAAAGTGGAGACAGAGTCTGCTGGTAACTGACTGAACCACAGTCGAGCTGACCCTTTCAGTGTCACGGGGAAAGCCCGACACATGATCTCGTCAGGGAAGGCATGGAGGATCATGAGGGTATGGTAGGTCTCTAGATGGTCGACTGGGTCCGTCGTACCGTCAAAGGAGTCAATGGTGGGCATCTAGAACTTGGCGGGCAAAGGTTTGTCCCGAATGGAGGCAACAAATGGTGAATTTGCCGTGGTAGAGGGTTTATGCTGAATATTCTGCATGACCCCTTGGAGTTGAAGCTTCATTGCTCGGAGCTCAGCGTCCTAGAGGGAAACGTGGTCACCATGGTCAGTCAATGGAGGCTGGACGCTGATGGCCTCCCCTTCAGGGGCTGGTGCTACGACCGACGGGTGTGGGGGTGGTGGTGGTGGATTTATATGTGGGTGGGGAGGTTGCAAACCTTCCAAGTTGGGTGGATGGAGTTGTGGAGCAGTATGGCTCGGAGCTCTTTCTTGGTTGGGGGGAATATCTGGAGGTGGTGGTGGAGGAGGCATCGGAAGGTTTCATTGGAGTAAAGCATTTATCAAGGCCTAGTTTTGCTCGGCCATGCGGTTAATGCTGTTGGTAAGCTCGATAAGATACTGTGGTGGGTTGTTTGGATTGGGGGGTCGGCTTGATGGTCGGCAGCATTATTGTGAGAAGCCATGGATCTAGTCGTGACTATGCACTTTGACGGGTAGGAGAAAGAGGTTGTTGGAACGAGGTCTCCGGCGACAGTGAACACAACTGGCGCGAGGAGCAAAGCGTTCCCACAGACGGCGTCAACTGTTGATACAGTTTATCCCAGTGAATGGAGCGAACTGGTCCAAGCTCCTCAAGCCCAAGCCCAAATGATCGAGACCACCGGATAACCTACAAACAAGTTCAACGGGGAACGAGGTAGTCCCCCAGTGAACCCTCCGACGAACAAGTTAGGAAGAGAAGTAGAGTATATGATGAGAGATTAGAGATAAAAAGCTTAACCTTTTTCTTGTCTTCAACGTTCGCTTATATCCTTTGGTAATCATTTTGCTGTCCCTTCCGACCTGCTCTCCTCGCCGAAAGCCTATGCTGTAGCTTACCTTGCTCAAGGTAAGGGGGTCCTGTTCCGGCGGAGAGGTGTTGTTGTAATAAATGCTGTGATGGGCTGCATTAATGGTGATGTGCAGTGGCAATAACTTTGCAGATCTTTGTCTGCTGATGTGGCTCATCCTTCTCTTACCGTGTGTCTGAATGTCATTGGCTTCTTTACGCCATGTTGGACTCCAGCTGTCCTGGACCTCACCAGTTGGGTTATGCACTGGGCTTCAAGTGATGGGCCATAGGTGATTCGTGGCCTTTATGGGCTTATACATGTCAATAATGTGTTTGAATGTCATTGGCTTCTTTATGCCATGTTGGACTCCAACTGTCCTGGACCTCACCAGATGGGTTATGCACTGGGCTTCAAGTGATGGGCCATAGGTGATTCGTGGCCTTTATGGGCTTATACATGTCATAGTTAAAAAAATTAAAAAATCATGGTAAGTTATTATATTATTCTTTTTATTTTTTGCATATTTTTATAAAAAAAATAATTAAAATAGTAAATTTTTAAACGGGGCTTGAGTAGTGCAAAAATAATATCACTAAAAAAGACATCCAAAATTATTCATTTTAAAAAAAAAGAAAATTAGTGATATTTTTAAAAAATTATGTCACATATAATTTTTTTTTTATTTATGTTTTTTGGATCTTGTGCAAACAAATCTAAAAAAAATAAAAAATAACTATTTTTGATTTTTTTGGGGGGTCTTTTTTTAAAAAATTTTAGTTTTTTTTTTTACTTTTCCAATCTGTCTGAGTAGATACTAGAAACTAGAAACTAAAAACTTTTTAAATTTAAAAAAAAAATAAAAAAAATAAAAAAAACTCATCTAAAATATAAGTGTTAACTGTTATAAATAAAAATAGATGAACAAAAAATGAGATTATAATAAAAATGCATAGATACTACAAAGTTTAATTGACCCATATATGAATTGGGGTAAATGTTGAAGAGAACTGTCCTGTGAAGCCTCCTCATGAAGGAGTAGAGTGCCTATATATACACACACTTCTCAGTGTAATATAGAGAATGAAAATAAAATTTTACAAATTCCTCTAGCTAGACATTTGCAAACAACCTATAATTTTTGGCATCCAGACTTATTTGCCTAACTGCTGCAACTGCTGCTATGACACCAATTGTCGAGAAAACTGCAGCAATAGTGACATGTATCCAGAAAACCGGGCCTCGCTTCGATGGCTTGAATGTCAAGTTGTAGAAAACTACAGGCAGAACAAAGTCCAGTGGCAAAAACCCAAAAGCTCCGAGCACTGCATTGATGTCACCGAAGAAGGGAAGCATTGCAGCAATGGTTGTCGCGATGACGACAGACAGTGATCGAGAGATCAACCTTGGGATGACATTCCGGGCAGAGAACTCACTGCTCTTTGGGTCTGCAAAAGTTCGCTCCAGCACTTCGTTGTTGGGCTGCAAATAAACCTGTAGAACACAGTGCAGTTAGTTTTGAATTATTGTGCTTATAAATCTGGTTATTTTTTAGGTTTGTCTATATTAGACAATCTTAAAAATTACATGTGTTTGGTTTGAGTTTTTTGTATTAAATTTTTTGAAAATTGAGTTTTTTAATTTTCATATTTTTTTTTTAGTAAATATTTTTAAAATTTTAAGCATTTTTTTTTTAGATACACCTTACTTAGATATAATCTAAAAAGTAAAAATATTTAAAAAATTAATAAATACATAAAAATATAAAAAAAAAAATATACTGAATTCTCGTTTTTTTTTTTTTTTTGTATTTTTAGTATTTAGTGAATTTTTAAAAAGTTTTTTTCACAAATTTTTTACTTTTTAAGTATATTTATGTTACATATGTCTAAAAATAAAAAATAAAAATTGATTAAAATATTTAAAAAGTTCAGTAAAAATAAAAAAAATACGAAAAATAAAAAAGTAAAATATTTTAAAAAATATTTTTGAAAAACTCTAACCAAGCAATGTGAGATTTTTTGAAAGGTTAAGTAAAGACAAACAAATCAATGTTACAGACGTTTGATTTGTCTTCAATGAACTTTAAGAGGGTCATCTAAGTAAAAATAACTGACTTTTTAGATCTATCTAAACAAGGTAATCCTAAAAATTGAAATTTAAAATAAAAAAAAATTTAGTAAAAACAAATAAAACCTTCTTCTTCTTTTTTTCAAGGTCGTCTAGTAAAAATAGTTTACTTTTTAAATCCATCTAAGACTACACAAGCCTAATTTTTTTTTTTTTAATTTTGAAAATAAAATTTGGTAACGACAAAATAAGTCAACTTTTATAAGTTTTTTTGTGATAAAATTAGGCTTATTTTCATCTTTATTGAATTTTTTGTTCTATATATATATATATAAATTTTTGGGGGTAGTGTAGTATAAGTGGTATATATTTAAATTTTGAGGATAGTCTAGTCTAACATAAAACAATTTGACAATTTTAAAAAAAAGTTCATTGAAGAGGAAAGAAGTTGAAAAAAGTACGAAGGGTTGGTAAAGAAGGCTTAGCAACTAGCAATTAGGTAGAGTTGATAGTTGGAGAAAGGTTGTTACCACAGCAACAGCTGATAGTTGGAGTATAGTGAAGATATTGGTCATCAAAATGAACCATTTGGGCACCAAAGCTTTCCCATCTCCCAAGAAGTTGGTGAGGATTTGACTAGCAGCATGGTTGCCAAATGCCCAATACCCAGAAATTGCTACACTGAAGAAAGTCGCTGTCACTACTGCATAACAAACGCATAGTCCTTTGAACATTTTCCCCTTTACTGGTGGTGCTAGTGTTGCCTGTAAATGAAGTCAAAACATACCCTCAACTTAGCAAAAGATATATCCTATAGGAAAGGAATGGGATTCTCTGTCTCCAAAATCTTTATTTTCTAACACACTTGTGTCGCGAAATTCTCATCATTTCATAAGAGTTCGCACTCCAAATTTTTTTTAGATACTGTCAAAATTATATGGAGTAGCCTCCTAATTTTTCAAAATATAGAGTAGTCCCCCCAAAGCCTCAATCCTAGATCCGTCCTTGGAAAGATATGAATTGATTTGGGGCCCCTTCTAGGCAGTAGGATGGTGCACCTCAAAATGGTGAAGTAAAACTCCCAAAACTATACGTCTTTTTGAGGCGCATCATCCTTGTTGCCATGTGCCAGTCCGTGTTTGACATGAATTTTGGGAACAAAGAATCTCTGGGTGCATTTGTTGCATGTTCTTATTAAAATTAGTAATTGAAAATGTGCCATATAACAGCAGAATTGTTGAAAGAAATGGTTGAGAATGATTGAAGAAACCTGGATTTCAGGAATGATTCCATTCCCAAATGTTGTGGCGATGATGGCAATGGCATTGAAGATACCGAAAACACGAGTTTCAGTGTTACCAATCAGAGAGTAATCTTTTTTTGGCGCATTGGATGATTTTCCTACCAAAAAGGAAAAATTAAGAGAATAAGACATGAGATTTTAGAGTTGAATCTAAAACGTAGCACGTTGTAACATTGTCAGTTTTTTATTTACAAAAAAACATAAAATGATTATTGAGTTGTTGGTGGAGGCGAATTAGCCAGATGGAGAGGGAGGTAGTCAAAGAGGCAAGTCGTCATGGGGAGGAAATAAAATCTTGTTTTAAAAAAACTAGTAAACAGATTATTCTCATTTTCACAAAATTTGAAGAGTAAAACAGTTTATCAAATGTATTTAGGTATTTAATTTTCAATATTTTTTAAGACAAAAAACAAAAAATAGAAAACGAAAACGAAAACGTCATGAAATAGGGGCAATATTTACCTATATAAATGGAACCAGCTGTGGCACAAATGCTGTAGGCAAGGCAGAGTACCAAGGAAACAAGGTTGATGTGCCTCAATGAATGAAAAGATGGTATTTGAGCTAAAATCAACATGAAGCTTCCAAATATAACTACAAATTCATAGAGTTTCATAGACCCATTTGGGTTTGATAGCAAGTAGATTGCCTGTAAAAAACAAAAACAATAAAAGAATTCAAACTTGTACTGCATTTGAATACTTCTAAATTGAATTTGAATTAATTTAATGACCATGTTTAGTATTCAATCCCCACAAAAATAATCTGAAAATCAAATGTGGCCTATGGAAATTGGGATGAAATGTCTAAATGAATGAGAAGTTGAGCAAATTAGGTTTCGAAATTTAGAAATATGATCATTTTTGAAGAAAATTACTTAAATATGCAAAAATTGGTCACTTACTATTATATATTCACATTGTATTATTGATTTATTTTATTTTTCAGGTGTCAAAAGAAAAAAGAAAAAGGAATAGAAAAGAAAAGAATGACCTTCATGCACTGTCCACCTAGAAGAGTACAACCAACAACTGCACCATAGCAGACCATGAACTGAATTGGGCCCACATAATATCGACCCCATCTTGGCCCTGTCAATTCCAATTCCATTATTTTCATTATTATGAAATTAAATGAAGTGTTTAATTACCATTTGTAATCTTAATCACAATAATATACAAATTAACTGCAAGCACAGATGCAAATAATTCAAACCCATCACACTATCACTTTTAATTTTTTTTTTAATACATAATTTGCAAACAACATTAAAAAACAAAAAATCTGCACCAACTTTAAGACTTGAAAGTGGGATTTATTTCACACCTAAAGATCATTTCTTTGAAAAGTCTGAGCTATTTGAGTTTGGGGACATAAGAATGCATTGCACCAAGATATTTTCTCAATAATGCAATATGTTGAGAAAATTACTCACAGAAGTAGATTTATAGGGATTTGAGGTGGGTCCTGTCAAAGGCGGACACAAGGGGGGACGAGCACGGGCGGTGGCCCTACACACTTTGAGTCCAAAATTATTGCCCCACCCAAAAAAAAATCAGTTGGAAAAACCCATTAGCAATAGTTTTTCTAATTGGGCCGGGTGCTCTTCAATTTGAGGTTGGACTAACGTGTTGTTGAGTCTGTAGAGGTTCATTACATGTTTTATTTTAATAATTTGAACCGTTAAATATATAGAACTCGTCGAGTATTTTATACATATAAAAAATCACGTTGATCAGATATCAATAGCTACTTGATCGGATCAGATTTCTGTCAATGGTAAATATAATTTTCATAATAAATTGTTGATAAAATAATGATCCGATCAAGTAACTATCAATATCTGATCAATATAATTTTTTAAAGGGATAAAATATTCGACGAGCTCTATATATTGAGTGGTTCAGATTATCGAAATAGAACCCCTTGTAGGCCCTACGAACCCAACAATACCGTTCAATCCACAAAGTGAATCGGAGACAATCCTAGCCCTTTCTAATTATTTTATATTAATATTTTTTTACTACCATTACATTACAACTGTATTACTAATTACACTATAATAATCATATTTTATTTGTTATGTGATATGTTACTTTTGTATTAATTTAATGGATCTCACTATTTAGGTTATTAATATAGTGGTGATATATCACATGATAAACAAAATATGGTGTTTGTTATTAATATAGTAATGATATATAATAAATCCAAAAAAAGAAAAAGAAAAGAATAATGATATATTATATGATAAATAAAATATGATGAGATTATGTAAACAATATTATCCTTATACTAACAACTATTAAATATTAAATGAGAAAATGGGACGAATCATTCTTTTTATAACAATACAGAGAGACTAACTTTGGAAGGAAAAATTAATTAAGAATGCCAGGGATCAATAAACTGTATTCAATTTTCATCTTTTTGATGTAAATTTTTAGGGATAAATTTTTCTAAATATTTTCTCTTTAAAAAATAATTTTGTGTTTAATGTAAATATTGATGGAAAGTTTTCCTCTTTTGATTTCTGTTTTGATTTTACAATGTGAAAAGTATTTATATAATACTCTTTTGATAAACTTTAGTTGTCAATTTTAGATGCATGTAATTCAGTCCCAGGCATAAATCCTGCGTTTCCCACTTAGTGCTGTGACATCACTCGTGCTGTCACACTGATTTAATTCGATTATACGTTGATAATTTAAATTATTTATAATTCGTTGAGTATGTCTTCTATATAAAAAATAAAAATAATGAAATAAGTATAACTCTATAATCAAGCTAAATAATAATCTTAAGAAACTATCAAAATCATGTTTACCATTTATTTCTTCTAGACATAAACGTGATTTTATTATGATTTACATATGTCTAATTAATTAAAAAAATTTTATGGATGATCTACTTAACAAACCCTACGCTATGAACGATTCGGATTATTAAAATAAATTTGCAACACGCTCTCATGGGTTCACAACACGGTATCCGATTTATAGGTTGCATTTATTGTGAATGCGAATCACATTTCACTAATTTTAAATGAGGATTACTATTCGAGATAGAAAATTAGATTTAATTTTCAAAATTAGTGATGTGACAATCAATTAAGATAATTAAAGGTAACATTTTTGCTCATATCTTCTCTAATGAAAATCTCGAGCGGGCTGTGTTGAGCTCGAGCGGAGATCGCGGGACAGATTCTATAAATTCGCGTGTTGGGTCAGATTTTAGGATTACTACTCCAAATCTTCTTTTTGGTTTCTAGGGTTTATATCTAGGGATACTTTGTGAGTTTTCTTTGATATTTTATTGAGTATTCAACTCATGTTCTAAAGAGAGTACATCAAAGGTTGTGTTTTGTTTTACAAAAGAGAGTGTTATTCTTCAGTTGTGTATTCTGAAGAATTCGAGCCTGAAGCTGTGGTGGAATCCAGAGTGGCTCATCAGAAAGACAATTCCGTGGTGAGGATGGGGTTGGAAGAGGCACATAGAGGTTGGTTCAATTTGGCGTTGTGGATTCGCTAGGTAATTGAGAGTATACCTGTGTAATTCCTTTAATTCTTCTTAGTGGATTGTCTTGTGGCTGTTGCCCGTGGTTTTTTGATCACAGTTGGAGGTGTCCAATTGTGGTTTTTTCCACGTAAAATCGTTGTGTTTCTTTGTCTTGATTGTTTGATTGGGATTGTTATATTCTGCCTAAAATTGATACATAATCACAAATCAACATCTAGAGAATTTCTAGATTTTTCATATAGTTTAACAGCTTATAATTTATAACTGTGAACATAAACTAATTTTTGACTTATAAATTAAGTTTTTCCTCCCCCACTCAAAGAATAAGTTGATTTTTGACTTACAAAAAGTTATAAGTTATATTATTAAGCTGAATTAAATACATCAAAATAACTTAAATTAAGATAAAAATTGAAATAAGCTGAAAATAATCCCTACCAAACAGGGCCAATATGAGACTGAAAAAGAAGGAGAAAGTAGGGAAAAAATTCAACCATATGGGCTCACACATGACATGACTACGTTTTGATTTTTTAAGTGACTTTTTAATTTTAAAATTTTTTTATAAAATAAAAAAAAAGTTAATATATTTGGGTGATTTTTTTAATTGTATAAAAAATATAAATAATTGATTTTTATAACATACTTTTTAAATTTCTTAACCTTTTGAACTTTATTTCAACTTTCTAATTTTGTTTAACCAATGGGACAAGTTTTCAAGCGAGTCACTTCATTTTGATTTCAACATTACATAAGCGTATAATGTTTGACTTTTGTTCTCATTTGAACCCAAGTCCATATGTGTGGGCGGTTTGAATCCGTGTTGTAAGAGCATCACCGACTGTGAATTAATTTTTCATTAAATTTAAATAAAAAAAAAATCATTTTTCTTAATTTGATATTATTTACTCTAACCATGCATAAAAAGAGAATGGTCAACCGGTGAGTCAACCGATAATGGTAAAAAAAAAATTTTTTAACTTGTTGAACCTTTTTGACCGGTTTGAACCTACCTATTTGAAAGGGAACCGGTCGACCGGTGGGTCAACCGGCCGGATATCCGGTTGGTTGACCGGTTGGCCCACCCCAACGATCAAGCATAGTAAAATACTGATATACAGAGCTTGTCCTCAATTTGATAAAATGTTTGTTCCATTCTCATTTTGATATCAAATTGGTGAAACCATTAGAGCTTGAAAAAGTCACTTTTTCATCAAATTTCAACTCTGATGAATGGTTTGATGCACCGTTGGAGATGGTCTAAAATGTGCACATAAATGACTCCATATTCTAAGTTAAGAAACGCAATAATAATAACATAATACATAGACAATAGTATCTAATAACTTTTTATCAACTAATATTTTTTCTTCAATTGTTTCTATCAATTAATTTCACTTTATTCACATTAGTTTTACTCTTTTCTTTTTCTTTTTTCTTTTTTTCAAATATTTATGTAAATTCATATTCAAACAGCTCTTACGTTGTATTTAGTTGAGAGATTTGGGAAGTGATTTGTAAAGAAAAAAGAAAAAAATGTATGAAATTAGGTGAAATATAGATATATTTTATTCACATTTCATCTTCCTTTTTCATTTCTTTTTTCAAATCCCCTCTTAAATCCCCCAACTAACCACAATAATTTTTTTCTTCAAACCATGTACTAGCATTTAGTTAGGTGTGGCGGAGCATCTCACTCATTTTCTTGGACAAGGCACCCATTTGGTTATGAAGAATCTCAAATTTGACTATTTTAATCGGTGGCCTTTGGTTAATTAATTAAAGTTATTTATCATTTTTTTTTTGGGGCTCTTTTCCTCTAGGAATTGGCAACATTGTTTACTATATTTCAACCGTTGGATGTTGTACTTGTGTATTCTTGATCATTTAAATTAAAAAATAAAATTAAAAGTTAAAAATAAATCAAGAAATAATTAAATTAACAGAAAGAATCCAATGTTGGTTAACATAGTTTGCCTCCGTTTGGAAAGTGGGTTGGTTTTTTGGCTTTTTTGGCTATTTTAGCCTGGGCTTAAAAGCTTGGTTTGGGAAGGACTTTTTGGCTTTTTGGCTTTTTTGAGTTTTTTTGTGATAGAAGAATGTAATGATTATGAGTTTGATGTGATGTTTTGTTTGTTATGGCTAAAATAGCCTATTTTATTTTTTGTGGCTAAAATAGCCAAAAAAGCCTGCAAACCTACTTGCCTCGTTCTCTAAAATGTTTTTTTTATCCGATTTCTCTAGAATGATTGAGTCCAACTTGCTGGGAAGCTGACAAAAGTTGAAGCATAGTGGGGAAAAAATTTAAAAAAATTAAAAATTAAAAAAAAAAAATTTTAAAAAGGGAGGAAAATGATCCCCGTTAGCTAGAGGTAAGGCATAGTGACATCATATTTTGCTTGAAAAAAGACATAAAAACAAAAATAAAAGAGAGAGGAAAGAGAAAAAAAAAAATTGTAAATAAGGAGAGACAAGAAAAGAAAATGGATAGAGAGGAAATAGTATACCCAAATCATATTTATTATCTATTTTTTTCAAAATAAAAATAATAAGTAACATATTTATAATTATTAAATAATTTGATTTATTTCGTGAATGATCTATATAGAAAATTTTAATGAAATAAAAGAAACAGACCACTAAAATATGAAGAAGTTAAAGAAATATACTAAATGATAAATGAAATATTGAAGAAATTAAAGAATTTGGGAACTCAATGGAAGATAGCAAGAAAGAAAATGGGCGGTGGATGCGAATTATATCTAAAAATCAATTTTTTTAATATTAAACTATGGTTGACTATACAAATTTATTTTTCTTATAGGCTATGTTTGTTTGGACGGACTGGATTAGCATTCCCATGACTAATAGTCCTAGGATTACGAATCCGTTGGATTATGTATCCTATCTTAACTAATGATCAAGTTTAAAATAATTAGTCCGTACTTCAATTGTTTAACCAAATATCGGATTAATAATTTTATTGGACTATTAGTCCAATCCCAAGCTCATGTCCATCCAAACAAACATGACCATAAGGTATTTAAAAATTACAAATATCTCTTCTTCTATGATTTCTCCTGCTCTATCCTATTAAAATTGTTGATTAATGAAAATGTACAATTACCTTTTTACCCCAAAACAATATTTTAAAACTCCATCACGATATTTCTAACCAAACAAATCCAAATCCAAATCCAAATTTGTTTTCTTTTTTTATATTTGCACCCAAAAAAACAAATACAATTTACAAAACCATCAATTTCTATCTCTTCGTTATCTGACCAAACACAATCACCACCACCCACGTCTTTGCCTCACTCTTTCTCACATTCTCTTTATTAATTGCAAAACCCAAAACTCACAACACGGTTGATGAATCAATTATAGGATAAAATCAATTATATTTGCCACCTAGCATCTCTAATGCTAAAACCAATTTTTTTTATTGAAATATCAAATTTTGATATATATGTTACACTGTTTAATATCTTATAATTTGTCATTTTTGCTTTTAACGTTAAAATGTCAATTTGTTTTCGACACCTACCCTTGTGAGAGCGTAGTTTTCAATGTGTGTGAGATTAAAAAATTTTGAGGGTATATTTAGAGTCACAGTGAATATAAATAAATCACATTATTCTCTACGAAATATAACAATCTTTAAGATAATTTGTACGAGGCAATTTTCATGATAAGAAAAAGAGTTTTATTAAAAGAAAAAATTTGGGTTTTGGATATTTGACTATCTTACCTAAGATGTCATTAGCCATGTCGCGAAAACGAAGGTGGCGGTGACCCAATTGAGCATGGTGTTCGAGAACCAAAGATAGCAAATTGTAGGAGTAGAATGTCACCAATGCTCCGATTACCAGACACAGTACTCCGCCAGCCCATCCAAGAGACGCAAATGCAACTGGCAAACTCAACAATGCTGGTGCTACAATTGAAGTTGTTAAGTGGTAACCACAATGTATCCATGACCCTGCACATTATTCATGTCACGAAAACGATAAGAATTCTGATAAAATATTTCATAGAAGTCCAATTTTTGTTACTTTTCTTTTCTTGTAATCTTTTTTTTTTTCACTGTTCAACAAAAAAGGGAATCAAATTAGCAATGAAGATATTTTCATAATTTAAATTTGGGGGAAAAAGTCCAAGTGAGCCTCCTCCTAGGTGCAAATGATCAAAGTAAGCTGAAATTATGTACCAGAAGCTCATAATAAAAAATATTGAGATAACAGTAATACATTGATTGATAGAATTAATCAAATAAATATAGGATAAAACTGATCTTGTCTCTTATTTAACTGATTGAGTGACTAATCTTATTTAAATAATTTTTTTGATGGGTAATACCTATTGCACCCAATATTTACTCGATTAAATGAATATCTTCTTCTCTTTTTGCTTTTAAATACCTACTTTAATCATTCTTACAAGTCAGGAAAAAAATTTCAAAATTATCCCAAAATAAAATGAAATGCTTTGTGCATAAACAACTGTGTGACTAAGCTATTTGGTTGCCAAAATATCTTGGAAATTTAATGCCTTGATCACCTGGGCTAGCTATGGAAGTTGCTGGCTATGAGCTCAAATATATATATATATATATGGAGAGAGAGAGAGAGAGAGAGAGGAGAGGGGGAGAGAAAGAGGAAGGGAGGGGAATATTATGATGATGATGATAAATAAATAAACAAAGAAATAAAGGAAAATAATTATAAGAATTAATAAGAATATGACCATATGTACCTTTGGATTTAAGAACAAAAAGAGCACCAGCATCAAGGTCCTTGTGCTGGGATTGTGGTGGAAGATCAGGACCTCTATTATAATCCTTCTCTCCTCCTTCATCCACTGCTATGGCGCTCCTATGTAGGGTACCCATCTCCCTCTCTCTCTCTCTCTCTCTCTCTCTCTAAGGAAAGATTAAAAATAACACAAAAAAGAAGGAAAGAAAACAATGCTTATATATAAGATGATGATCTACTTCATCACCAGTGTGAAAATAAGGTCAACTACCTCTTCATGCCTATTATTTTTGACTCCTCGCATCACTAAACAAAGACTTGTTTTAATTTTTCATTTCAATAAATTTAAGATATCAAAAACTAAGTACAGAATCAAACGGGAAAAATATATAAATGAAAAAGATTCCTGAAAAGCATATCTTGCTATGCAAAAATGTTTGGGCCACTTTTTTTGAACCCAACAATCTCCTTTATATCTCAACCATTGATAGTGTGAGCCCTACACATATATCAATAGTTGAGATCAAAGAAGATTGTGGGATTTCAAAAACAAAGGAGTCTTAATCATTGTTTTTTTCCCCCTTGATGAGAGAGAAATAAAATAAGTTAATGATATTATTATTACCCCTCTGTCATTGTATAATTTCTCCTCTGTCGGCCATACCAAAATGCATTTTTTTTGAGTTCGGAAAATTCTAAACATGTAAAAAAATTGAAAAGTATGATATGGTAATACTATTATTATAATTAAATCTATTTTCAAAGTATTTTGTTTTGGAGTGAAAAGTTCATAATAAATTATAATATTATATATCAATTTTTTATTTGTATAATACGGTAATGATTTAGACTCCCTCAAACTTCAATCCCCACCGCTCCCCACACACACGTGGCGGGTGGTGATTGGAGGAGAAGAAAAAAAGAAAAAAAGAAAAAGAAAAAGTGACCAATTAAAAAAGAAAGGGAGTCAAAGGAGGTGGGGAGAAAGGGGTCCAAATCTTTATTCTTGTATAATATTACTTTTTTGAGTTAATTCGGTGTAATTAGTTATTGAGTTTTGTTAATAAATGCTTTTAGAGTAATTCCAAAGGAGGAGATAAAAGAGCTATATAAGACATTTTTGTTAGTGAAGTTGGTTTGGTCTTCTTCCATTGGGCTCTATATCACAAAAAATACTTTGTCCATTTTCATTTTAACTCTTCACAAGTTGCTAACGTTCATTAGAGCATCTTCAACCTACTAAGTATATAATATTTGTTAATTAAAATGTCTAGTATGTCTCACTTTTTTCAACTCCAATACACTAAACATATAGTTAGGCATTTTAACTCAACTCGCATTCACGGAACTAGCCTTCAAGGTTAGGCAAAATACATTTAATCATTAGGATTATTTCACTCCATCTTTGTTGCTGATATGGCATTCTATAAAGTTAATAGTATTTGAATAAATAGCTAAAATACAGAGCATGGTTGGAGTAGAAACATGAAACAGTTGATAGGTAAAGTAAAATGTATACTTTATAGTAATGCTTAAATAGGTAAAATGCCTATGACCATTGGAGATATTCTTACTAGGCAAAGGATATCTCCGTCAATTTGTCCATGTTTGCTTCTTGTTTATTTTCTGTTCCAGTCCATTTGATTTTTAGAAATATTACCGTTGAAAAAAATATGATCTTTAAAATTATAATCGTACAAAAATATTATTTAAAAAATAATTTAATAATATATATATGTTAAAAATATTTGTAAATGTCACGTCAAAACCCACCTCATTACTAGGTGCATATGGAACGCGTCGTAAAAAAGATTATATTTTTTGTTTATGTTTATAGTATTTTTAAAAAAAAAAAAGTAATTAAGTTAGTTTGGTTAGTTTGTTAAAATAAAGAGTATAATTGGAGTACATACTAGCTAAATTAGTTAGGCAAAATAAATAGAGTACTTTTCTATGTACCTTTATATGACATTTTGCCTAGTAGCCTTGGAGTTTCTCTCAGGCCATTTGTTAAGAATGCATTAAATAATAGTAATTAATTCCAACTATTATAGAAGAGAAATGTTTGAGGGCCATAATTTTGTAACTATAATGGCTCAAAACTGTCAAAACGACATCGTTTTAAGTGCAAAATATGCCAAAACAACGTCGTTTTGACAGTTTTGAGCCATTGTGACTACAAAAATTGTGGCCCTCTAGCATTGTTGATTATAGAAAGTATAAAAGATAATAAATATACGAAAAATGTTAGGAATCTCAAATGTTTTACTAAAGATTCTATCAAATATCTTACATAGGTATGGAACTCACACCATGTGCTTTTTCCCAGTGAGACCAAAATACCCTTTTATTCATTTCTCTTTATTTTATCATTTTATTTATTTATTATTTCATATCCCTTCCATATTTTTTTTTTACGAATTAACATATTAAATAATATTTAGCTAGTGGTGTAATACACCAATGATTTTATTTTAAACCATATTTAATAAAATTTATCCCATAATAAATGGGAAGAAAATGAGACGCAATAATAAATTGAAGGGGCAAAAAACAAAAAAATACAGGTAAGATATTAGTTACATGATATGGTGAAATTTGTCATGTTAGTTGATACGTAGTAGTATGATGATAATGCTTATCAAAATTGTCCCACATTAAATTTATTTATGGTGAAAAGAAATGGTTAACTTTAAAAATAAAAATAAAAATAAAAAAAGCCCCATAATAAATTTATTTACAATGAAAAAAGTGTTTAAAATTTTTTTGCCCCTTCAACTTTTTATTATGTGCCACATTTTCTACCACTTGTGTATGGGATAAATTTGATTAAACATGGTTAAAAAAAATTATTGGTGTATTTCATCATTAGCTAAAAAATTGTTTAATATGTTAATTATGAAATGATAAAAACAGTTCAAAAAAAATGATAAAAAAAAGAGGATAAAATGATAAAATAGAGGGAAATGAATAAAAGGGTATTTTGATCTCACTGGGAATTTTTTTTTTTTTTTTTTAATCTCAAATGCTCTAATGTGCAATACACATTATTTACAAATCTATCACAAAATTATATAAATTTTTACGAACTTGCATAAGTAATTTTATAAAAATGTATAAGACTTAAGTTGAACACAAATTAAAAAGTTATATGACAGATTCTTGAGCTGTATAAATGCAAGAATTATTGTCACCTAAAGAGTGGGGCTGTTGGAGAAATTTACCGTCAAGAAAGGGCAACAAAAAAATAAGCAGTGACGTCATTGGAAAATAAAAATAAAAATAGTAATAAACAAACACTTATGATAGGTCAAATAATATAAGAAGAGTATAGTCACTTTAAATGTGATATTTTAAGGGGAAAAATAAGATTACAGTGGTCAAAAGAAAACAAAAACAAAATTATGAAAAATTATAACATTTTAATTATTATTAAAGTACACAATTTTTTTTTACTGTTATAATGTGATTGAATTTTCTCTATTTTAAAAAAATTAATTGTTTTGGATTTCGAACAATTTTGATTGACATAGTAGTGGTGACGTTATTTTAAAAATGAATTGTTCTGATCAATAGATGACGACCTTTCGAGTGAATGTTATTTGCGGGGTGGAAATTAGTGGTTGTGGGTGATGGTGGTGGGAGGAGGAACGCGGCACTGGCAATAACACTGCTGGTGGTGAATGTTGGTCCATCTCTCCTTGGCCCGTGAAGTCTTGTTCTTCTAGCAATTATTTGCTCTACTTCTTTTTTTCTTTTTTTAGAATGTTCAATTATTTGTTACTTGACAGACATGTTATTCTCGAAAACATATTATAGGAAGAGATTATCTTGTTTGGAAACAAGTTTTTTTAATAATTTTTTAATTTTTTGGTTAAAATATAATGTAAAAAAATATGTTTAGGATGACTTTTTAGTTTTATACGAAAAAATATGCAAAAAGTAGAGAAAAAATAGAATTTTTGACTTTTTGATATAAGTTATTGGTTTTTTAATTTTTTTAGTGACTTTTTAACTTTTAGGTTAAAAAGTGATATTACCAAATAAGCCTTAAGAATATATTTAGAAAAATGTGAATAATAAGCTAATTGTTTTTTTTTTTCCATTTTCTTTTTTTTTTAATTTTTATATAAATTTATGATCCAAATAGTATAAAAATAAATAAGTATAAATTAATTTTATGTGTACATATTGGCAAATTTAATTAATTTGTAGACTAGTTGACAAATTTTAACTTGCAAACCAACCGGCCAACCTTTGATTTTTATCATTCAACTCACTCAAGTCAAATCGGCCCATATTCTTAAACTGCACGTGTTGATTTGGGTTAGTGTGCGTTAGTGCGGGTCCATAGATTGTGATTATTTTCACACCCTAAAACCCAACAATTACAAAATATGTCATATAAAACAAATAAAAATATAGTCAAATATGCAGTAATTGGAGCATTAATAATTTTTTTGAAAATATAGTAGAAAATGCTATTCCTATATGAAAGGTCAGAAGGTTAATTTTTATGAAAATATAAAAATTAATAATTTTTGCCTATTATAAAACTTTTAGATTGCGTATTTCTTCTCCCACGGTTAAACTTTATAATTCTTTTTACAAAAATACTTGAGATCACTAATTAATGGTAGCACTAATGATGTGACAGTGGGCCTCACCATCTACTGCCACAGTGTTGTTGTGTCTTGTTTTTTTTTTATTTATAATTTTTCACTTTAGTGATACCAATCACTACTGTTCTTTTTATATTATAAATAAGACAATCAATTAAAAAAAAAAACACACACATTTCCACCTTGTCAATGGAATGAATAATTATATTGAGAAAAGATTCATTAGAATCTATAGAGGGCCCCTCATTTTCATGAAAAATTATAAAATAATTTTGCATGTGACCATACTCTCTCACATTAATCATCTCATTTAATGAACACAAATAAAATAGTAGTAAAATTATCATTATTAGTCAATGAATGTATAATAATAAAATGAAATTAAAAAATAAATAAAAAGTGAAGACTCTAATCTTTTGTTATAATTTGATGGGGGAGGAATTTGTCCGCGTTTCGTGTATTCTTTGAGCTGTCTAATAATAAGAGAAGTGATTGTGACCCCTCAATCATTAACACCAGCCATCTTCAGGCACATGTAAAGGTTAATGATTGAAGGAGAAAAAGAAAAAAAGAAAAAAATAAATAAAATAATAACCTGGCCAATCAAAAGTCAGAGAGAATCGTGAGGGTCAGTCCGGATCTTCTGCCATATTTTCCAGCCGTGGTTCCTGCCGTGGTTAAAAACGACATCGTTTTTGACCAACCCTCTCTCTCTCACTCTCACTCTCACTCAC